AAAAATCTTTATGGAGATCCCATACAGATGGAAAGGGTCTCCAAACCATGCAAGTTCCGTTGCCATCTCTTCTACTGCTTCTCAATTCTCACCATCAATATTTTCCTCCCTTTTGTTTTTTTTTTATTTATTTTTTATTTTTTATGGAAAAGATGCTCCATTCATTGACTCGAAAATTTGAATACAAAGGAGAATTAAGCAGGGCACACAGGGCCAACAATTGCCAAAACCCTTGTACCCTGCTTCCTACCGCATTTGCAATGTCATAATTTATAAGCCATTACATTTGCCTCTTGACCCACGTAGGAAAAGTGAAAAGATTCCATGGCTCCACGGCGCCATATCCATGCATGCTGTCTAGGCCCCACCTTGCCTCCCTAACAGCCTGTGCAGAGTTGGATTCTACCATGATCCTTCTAAAACTCAAAGCCAATGTAAGCTGTACCTCATACAGCATAGCTAAGAGCTCTCAGTTCTCCCTCAACAGCCAAAAACTGTCCTCTTTGACACCTGCTACGTACCACGTACTGTATTTTAGATCTCCAGTGGCATTTCTTCTTACCACCCCACACTGCAAAAGATTCCTATCAGCCCAAACAGCTAGCAGCCGAGTTTATCTTCACAAAGCCAGCCTTCATTTTGGTCCAATCCTTGCCTTCTCATTCCATCTGTAATTTCATTCCCCTCCTTTGTCCTATGCAGCTCCTCCACAAAATATTTAACCCGATTAAAACCAGTCTCAAGAGAATCAAAAGAAAAATCGAAAACACATCTATTTCAGTTCCTCCAAATAATCCACAAAACCACTGGAATAATCTCACCATCAATACTTAATTAAGAGTTAAACACACATTTTTGGACAACATTTATAATTGTATTTTGTTATTGAAACTGTACTCATTTAGAACCAATATACTTTTGTGAACTTGAATTAATTGCACTCACTTATTTCAAGATTAATCAGAATATACACTCATTTAATAATATATATTATGATTGTAAACTTAACATATATATAATATTATATATCATAATAGCTATATCATTATGATGGGTTTTACCCAGAAAAAAGAACTACAAATTTCAAATTTCAATCTGCAGCCCCTTAAACCCAAAATCTAATTCCCACACCCACTTGTTCTGGCCCGATTTTGAAATTCCAGACCTTTAAATTATTCTATCCTTTTGAATCGTATTCTTATACCAGCCTAATTGTATGGGTAAGGGTGGTTGAATTAATTATTTAAATATAATTTATGGTTGTTAATAAATATTTAATAACTAATAATTATGATTATTTATAATTTAAAGTATCTAATTTATTTAATTAAATATAACTATTTACAAAACACCAAAGCAATGATCCAACCTACTACTGAAATATATTTTTCGGTTACCAAATATTTTTTTTATTCAGTTTATAATTATATGAGAATAACAGATTGGAACCTGTGAGAGCAACGGAACCTCATGTAAAGAGGATAGTGGAATTGTTGGAAATTCACACCAAAGATATTGTTCTGACTGGGAAAGCTGGAGTTGGGAAAACTTGGATTGCAAAAGAAGTTTGTAGGTATGCAGAGAAGGAGAAAAAATGCTATGCAACTGTTTGGATATCTCTAGAGCAAGAACATGATGAGGCTTCTCTTTATGAAAGTATTGTCTGTCAGTTGTCTACTAGTGCAGATGTGTGGCAAGGTTATGTTAAAGATAAGGGAGAGCAGGAGAGTACTGTGGAAGGCTTGAAGCAGCAGATAAAAGAAAAGCTTAAAGAAGAAATGGAAACAGATAACTATCTTCTATTGGTACTGGATGGAGAAGGAAATAAAATGAAAAAGGAAGATATCCTACTCCGGCTGGGTTTGGAAGCTGTTCTTGACAGGAAGCGTTTTAGGGTTCTTAGCACAAGAAGGGAAAGAGAAGGTATTACTGATCAGAAAGCAGTGATTGAGGTTGAACCTCTATCAGGGACAGACGCAGCAAGATTGTTAAGAAGAGTGGGGAAAATGTTTTCTACTTCTTCTAGTTTTGGAATATTACTTGAGGCTGTTAAAATGCAGAACAACGTTTTGCCTACTGATATCATCATATTATCAGGAGCCTTAAACTGCATTGCAGAACAGGATGCTGCAGCTTCCAAATTAGAGGATGCCTTGATTGCAGCAGCTAATGGTCTGAAAGAATTTCTGGAGGGTCAACTTGCAGAACAAGATGCTGGAGTCTCAAAGTTTGTGGCTGCTTTAAAGGCAGCACCTAATGGTCTTACAAAATTACTGCACTCTGCACTTGAGGTGTTAGGAGCCAATGGTATGGTTGACTGCTTTTGGCATAGCCGAGACTTGCTTTGTCAACGCAGTGATGTTAATTATAATGAGTTGATCACTCATTGGATACTGGAAGGCTTTTTCAATCCAGTTGATCATTTGGGCAAGGCCTATGAGAAGGGACACCATGTATTAATGAAGCTTGTAGATTTTGGCATCCTGAGGATGCAAGAGGATAATACTGTTGTTCTGGAAGGATTGAAACTTTACATGAACGATGAACGCATCCACGGATATTTTGGGAAAGCCAACCTCAGACTTGCTGCTGTGCTCAAAAATGCCAACCCGAGAGGTCTTGGAAGGGTCGCACCTGCTGATGGTATGATTAAAACACTGAGAGTTGGAAAACAAAAGGAGCTGGTCACGACACTTCTGGTTGATGGAAGCAAACTACATGAGGAAAATCCCAAAGCATTCTTTCAGGCATGCCCCAATGTACAAGTTCTTGGCATTTTTGATTCCACAATCACAAATGCCACTTTCCTCAAACGTAAGATGGAGAAGCTGCTTGTGTTGGTGCTTAGGAACTGTCATCTACTGAAGGACTTGGGTCACGTTCAGGAACTGGCAAAATTAAAGGCTCTTGAGATATCTGGTGCTCCTTTCCTGAAGGAAATGCCTGGCGGACTCTTTCAGGAAATGCGTCAACTTCAAAGCCTCAATTTATCTGAACTCGGAGTTAAATCTTTGCCAAGCATTTCCAATCTGACTAAACTTCGGAGGCTTATCCTCAGACGGTGTTCTTGCTTACGAGCTCTGCCATCAGTAAGAGAACTCTTACATCTTGAGGTAATTGATATTTCTGAATGTTCCTCTTTGGAGAAGATGGATGACATGTCCCTGGGAGTGCTTCAAGAACTTCAGATTCTTGATTTTTCCCATACCAAAATACTGAAATTGCCAATTATTCATGCTCTTAAAAAC